CTCCCTACCCCACCATCCCCACTGTCCCCCTGCCCCACCGCCAAGGCCCCGCATGCCCTCCAGCGCCCGCCCGATCCCAGCCCCCTGCCAGCAGCTCTCACCTGCAGGTTCACGATGTAGAGCTTTGGGCGGCGAGCGGGGGGCTTGCTCATGCACCACAGACGCGGGTTTTTTTTCAAAACCTGCCACAGAACAGGGATGATCAGCACGGCCAACGGCACGCGCAACTGCGAACCGTATCAGCGAGAGGAAAAGGAATGTATTACCAGGAGGGGAAAGAGGGAGGAAGAGAGACTATCACAGATGGTGGGCGAATCCCGACACCAGAGTTTACAGTTGTCTGTTTGGGAGGAGACTGCTCAGCACCAAGGTGTATCCCCAAGAGGGAATGCTGCTAACAATCTTCACCGAGTCTCTAAAGTTACCTTTAAACTGGAACCCAGACAAAGAATCACATCTGCTTTGCTTGCAGCTTCTGTTGCTGCTTCCCAGTTCAGGGGCTGCCTCAACGTCCCCTTCTCCCCAAAGTGGACGATTGTGTCTCTCAACTGTGCCCCACACTTGTGGCACATCCTGCCAGTGTGATGCCTGTGCAGGGCTGTGCGCTCTGTCACGTCAAAGACTCGCACGTACTCTCTGTTGGGCGTACACGAAGTGCAGACCTGGTGCAGAATGGAAGCAAAAAATCTGTCACATCATTATCGCCTAGCCCGTCACAGGCCAGAAGCCAGCCACCTCTCCCAGAAGAAAAGCAGTTTTTGGGGACATCAGGTTGGAGACAGTAGAAGGGATCATCGGGGATCAGATGCTAGCTTGGAAAAGTCTGGAAAACCTCAACTAGCAAGGGGCATTACAGGGAGCCTGCGGGCTATGCGACAGGAGGGATTTCAGAGCAGGCTGAGGAACAGCAGTCAGAAGCAGGAGGCTCTAGCAAGTACAGAGAAAAAGCTACAGAGATGTACAGAACACTTTGTTTTGGTGCTTGCTAACTAGTTCACCCCAAACCTCATGGCCTGAGGATAGGAACTAAGCAGAGGCTAGCCCTTGTACTAATTCTTCTCGAGCTAGTGATGGATAAAGGGTTTACATTATCCTCTTGTGAGGCCACTAGATGGTAACTTGATCCTGTCCTGGCCACTCACCTCTATGTACATGTTTCCATGAAGCTCAGATATTGCTGCTCGGGGTAACCCACTCCGCAGGTGCAGCCCATCACAGTTTTGAGACACCACATGCTGCACCTGAAAGGGAACAAACCACTGAGCTAACACACATGCGGAAGACTGTGAATGTATCACTCAGACGCAGATGATGCGTAGGTCTCAGTACGCACCAAACAGCACCAGACATCAGAGCAGAACCCGCAGCAGAAAAGCGTGGAGAACACGCCTTTATGGAAGTTAAGTGAAAAGACTCCTCCTGCTAAGCAGAGCTGTGCTAGGTCTGGCTGACACCGTGGCCAGGTCCCTGACCAGCCTCACCCAGAGGAAAACACAAGGTGTTAAAGAAAAGGCACCGGGGAAAAAACTGCCAGATGGACAGTCTGGAGCTAGGCTAGTGAAGCCTCAGCTGCATGTGAGCACAGGTGCTTTTTCCTGCATGGATGTGTAGCCGTCTGAGTAAAAAAAGTAGTTAGGCACTCATTAAAAGCTTTTTTCCTTTGTTGGGTTTTATTTATCATACTTAGACAAAGGAACACAAGCGAGGTATGGAAAAATCTCTTACCAGGTTGTGCTTGTGTAGGCAGGCAATGCTCATGTGAGTGAGTGTGGGCTCTGCCTCACTCAGATCTGCAGCCCTGACAAGAAGCAAGGGAAAAAAAAAAAAAGAAAGTTGGAATTGTGATTAATCCCTCTTTCAGTATCAGCTTTCTGCCACACAGCTCAGAATTTCTCCCTACCTGATGCTCCTGCCCTTCTGCAGCAACGTCCATATGCCATTAGGGCCTCTGTAGTCTGGGATTGAAGCTGCCTGTGTTACCGAAGAGCCAAAACGAGGCGTGACGGGAAGGCTCATACCTCTTGTCCACAAACACACCAACCCGGTCTCACCCGTGACCACCAGATACACCTCATTCACAGGTGCTTTCTCATTCACTCCGAAGTTTCTAATGCAACAGTTCCCTAATTGCAGGAAAACCTTATTTTGATGCATTTTCTCTCTAGCATCTTTCCTCCTACCTTACAGCTCTCATTTTCGCCTCCAGTATTTATTTTCTCCAATTTTACCATTAGGGAATCCCTCCAAAACTTTTT